AACACAAAGTGAAAACTTGTAAATCAGACAATTTAAACTTGAGATGTGAACAAAAGTGTCTCATAAGTGCAAACTTGTTTGTGAAAAGTGAAAAGGCGAAGCCTCACTCGAGCGAGCAGACGTGACACAGCAGACGTGCATGAGCTGCACTATCAACACTGCATAAACCACATTTGCAGCGTTGTCTTTAGCAACTACAGGGTGTTTGCTGTTCAGCCCCCATTTGTTAATGTCTTCTATCAACCTATTGGCTGTATTTGCAGCTGTCTGGCTTGGAGTAATCTTAAGTGCATCTTTTCTGCTCATTTGAATGTGAACGTCACGTGCGTCACTACAAAACTAATTGATCTCATTCCCTAGACTTCGATTTTGCAAAAACGTACAGGAATCGATTAAATCGATTTTTTTTTTTTACCCAGTCGTGCTCCACATTCCTCATTTTAGGGAAGATGGTTCTTGTAAGAGTTGTCATAAAGTACAACTTTATTCTTGTACTTTTCCGACTTTATTCTCTGAAATTTATCTCTTTATTCTTGGAATATTTTTATTGCGAATATGCTGGATTATTTTTAATCTGTGGACCCTTATGCATTAATGGAGTATAAACAATTGAAGATTGGATTTATAAAGCAGCTTCTGGATGCCTTCAAAGGTTATTAGCTGTGGCTGCTTTGTTTGTTTACTTTTTGACATGCTGCTACATCTGTTTTAATTGTGATTCGGTGCTCGCTGTGTCCATAAAATGATCTTGATGGTTGAATTGTGGAGAATTTTTTCCAACGACGTCTAACACGTCAATATTGGTAAACATTTTACCGGTGGAATTTTCTGCATTTAACCCACTTAACATCCTCCGGGTCGATTAGCTTTAGCTATAAGGATCAAACTTTTCTGATGGTAAAAACGTGACTTCATGTGGTGATTTTCTCATTAGGGAATGTATTTATTATAAAAAGGCTGGATTACTTTTTATCTGTGGACCCTTAGAGATAATTGGAATATAAACGATCTAAGATTCGACTTTTAAAATTTCAGATTTAACAATTATGCTTTGGTGCTCATAGTGTCCATAAAATGAACTTTTTAATAACAATAAATTAATTGTTTCAGCCCTAATGGAGACTTTGTTCAGGTTAGGAAGGAGACATCTGAAATGTGCATCTCTAGGTGAAAAGGTCATCCCAGTTTATCGCTGTTTGTTTCATCTGTGCTGCGATGCGTAGAGATTCGTTTCTTCACAGTCTGGGTTCTGTTTCCCTCTGCAGAGATCTGCAGGTGTTTGAAGAGCTCTTCAGCTTCGCCTGTCCTAAGTTCCTGTCTCCTGTGGTGCCAAACTACGACAACGTCCACCCCAACTACCACAAGGAGCCCTTCCAGCAGCAGCTGAAGGTCTTTGCTGAGGAGGTTCAGCAGCAGGCTCAACTCTCCACCATCAGAAGGTTTGGCAGACCGGATACCAGGACTGACTCTAGCTCCTCCGTCTCTCCCGCTGACGATTTAAGAACTTTCTCTTTCCTTGCCAACAGTTTCTTGAAGCTGTACACCACCATGCCAGTGGCCAAACTGGCAGGATTCCTGGACATGACGGAGCAGGAGTTCCGCATCCAGCTGCTCGTCTTCAAGCACAAGATGAAGAACCTGGTATGGACCAGCGGCATCTCTGCGCTGGATGGAGAGTTCCAGTCTGCCTCTGAGGTGGACTTCTACATCGATAAGGTAAACGGCGTTTCTGCAGCGTCGTCTCTGAACGACACTGTGAAGAAATGTTTGCCTCCTAGTAGATTTCTTCTGTCTTTGCTTTTTTAGTCAAACACGAATTTTTCAGATCAACAAACATTTTCTTATTGAATAAATATAACTGGAAGACATGGAACAGATTTATATAAACCAACCTGACTGTGAACAATGCTGGTGAAGATTCTCATGCTACGTTCACACCGGAAGCAGCAGGCGCAGCAGAAGCAGTGAGTTTACATGCAAAGGCAATGGTTGACGCGGGTCAAGAGGCAGCAAAAGGTCCCGCAGCGCGTTTTGAGCAGCTGAAGTGTTTAAGCATCTGACGCGCCACAAATGCGCTGCTGCTCGAGATGGAAAAATTGAACTTTTGCTGCTCGACGCGCCGCATCAACAAATCAGAGACGCTGATCTTGGGGCTGGCAGAGAGACAGACACATCGCTGACGACACAGAGCGCTGATGATCACTCCTCTGAAACAGTTTATTGACGCATAAATTAACTTAAAATGCAGAAATCTGCCGGCAGAATATGTTCGCTTTTATTATCCGTGTGCCTGAAGTTTAGATTATTTAGATGAAAAACGCCTACCAGCCGGTTACTGTTGAATGGGATCCTACTGACAGCGCACCGCTGGTATGTGGGGGTCTGAGCGGCTCCGACAGAACTAATATTTAAAGGCAGGATGGTAATCTGGATGAACTGACTGCAGTGATTAAGTTTTCAGGTGTATTTTCTCACTTAAAAACACATTAAAACTACTTTATTCCCACTGATCACAGCAAATATAGCTGCAAGGCAGAGAAAGGATAGAGTAGCTCC